TCAGTTACTTACAAGAGCCATGAGCAGCTTTCTAGGTTAAGGAAAAGCAGTGGTAGGAAATACATCTAATACATTACAGGTAATTTTCCTTTATTTAAATTCTAATCTCCGTTTTAGGCAGTTAAATTTTGCTTATCAGGTTGCATTTCAACTCAAAACATCATAGCAAAATTTTATTGAAAGATTTTAAAATTAGTAAACAAATCACTTTGTTTCTTATTGTATTTGGAGTGTATTGTGTATAGTGTATCATTTTTTTGTCAAATTTAATTCATATCTGAACAAATCAGAATAAATTTTTAAAAGATGCATATTTTTTTTTTTTTATTATAACAGGAAGTAAAAATATAAGGACAAAAAGAAAAATGCAATAGGCCAAACCTGGATATTCCGTCTTTGCGTATTGCAGAGTTATCTTCTCTTGGGATCAGGTATTGATTGTTACGTCATTGGTTTGTGCGAGAAAATGACGTCGTTTTCTCAAAAATTGATGACGTTACTCTCACAAACAAGTGACGTAACAATCAATACCTGCTCCCAAGAGAAGATAACTGCAATACGCAAAGAGGGAATATCAAATCATAGAGAATAATTTATAAGGACATAGGTCATCATAACAAGGATGGAAAATGAATATGATAACCAGGAAATAAGGTCATCATAACAAGGATGGAAAATGAATATGATAACCAGGAAATAGCAAAGTACCAACAGATAATTTGATAAATGTCATATCAAATGTGACAAAACCCCATATACTAAAATCTATCATGTGAAAATGAATGTGTAATAGCTGCTGCTAATGTCTCTTTTAGTTAATTAGTCTCTGTGCTGAACCAAGCATTCACCAAGATTGACTTCTGGTGATACATTAATCAAGAGATGAATTAAAATTTTGAAGAAAAAATGTAATGGTGTAAAAACTTGAAAATGGGACACTGGTGAGCTGACTTACTTTCTCATAGATTTAGCAAAACATATTATACATGTCATAATTTTCAATATGGATTGTGGAATAAGCTGTTATTAAAAGTTATTTTGATAAGACTTTATTCTACATGTATATATATATATTTCTAGCTTATCTACTACATTGTACCATGAAAGTAAATATTATCAATATTTATCATTCCTGTAAGTTTGGTTGAAGACCAGGTATAATTATGCAGTATTAGTATAATTTAATGCAGTCTTTTATAAATTATGACTTATGTACACGTGATTATCAATAAGATATTGTGAGGCACTACATGTATATAGTCATAATTATATATAATAATACATGTAATTGTAATTTGGATTCTGCATACCTGGTTTTTGTTACAAATCATTAAATTTATTTTTCCTTTTTTTACAGGAATGTTCTAGGTCATGGATATTAAGCAGAAAGCCTTATGTAAAAAGACACCAGGATAGAAACAAAACTCTGGACAATTTAATACAATGTACATACTCCAAAGACAAATATTCCTATCTTTGCTTCTTATTCTGTATTAATGTTTCAAAAATGTGATTTGATTAAAATCAATGCAAGTTTTCAAAATGTGTTTTATTCGTTTTTTTCTCTCCCGTTATAAAATGACTAAAATACATAGTAAGTTAACTTAGTAAATATTTTGAAATAACTTTCCAAGAATTTATTTCTCTGTGAATTTTCACTCAGGTTTGGTTTGGTTTGGTTTGGTTTTATTTTGTTTAACGTCCTATTAACAGCTAAGGTCATTTAAGGACGACCTCCCCTGTGTGCAAGATGCATGCGTTCACTCAGGAATATTGGTTCAGTTTCATATTCAGAATCTGATATTACACTTGTAGTTTATTCTCAAATTCAAGATATGGTTACTTGTGTTATGAATGAGAGTTCACAGAACTACATTGTATTAGATTCCAAAATCTGCATACATGTCCCCCCCTCCCTCCCCTCTGGATTCAGCTTGAATATCACATGTACATTTCAACTTTATTTCAAGGTGTTTATAACAGTTCATCATGCATGTGTAACCAGATGCTTTTTTGCTCATTTGAAATATAAATGGAAAAATTTTCATAAATTACACTGTAAGCAGAGGAGCTTTGACCCCCCCCCTACAAGTACATTGTAAATGTGCAACCACCTCCCCACCTCCAGGCTCCTCCTCATATTACATGTAGTCTCAGACACTGGGAACTAGAATTTTCTCCTCGGATTGAATGTATTTGACTCAGTGCATCTCAAAAAGTGAAAAAAAAATCTATAAAGTAAAAACTTTGTACATTAATGTATATTATACTTGGGGAGCTGTCTTAGAGATGTGTAACTGGGGATGGTATTCAACCTGGCCTTTAAGCCTTCCAATGATGCCTCCACTACTGATTCTGGTGCAAGATATTAATTTAGTTTGTTACTCTGTCCTGTCTAGATCTTAGCATGGCATGTGATGTCCTCAAGTTCTGCAATCACTTGCTGTGAACTATACTACTGGAACTGCTTAACAGCCTGTAGATATGCTCTGTGTCACCAAGGTAGACAAGTGCTCGAATGTATGAAAACACAGTGTAACAGTAATATGTCTAACATATGTAATTGTTTACATCTATACATTGAATTGTCATATATTAAAATCAGCTTTTAAAACATTTTGAATGTCAGAAGTATTTAATGCTCAGTGTATACAAAAAGTGTAAGACATATGACCAAAATAATTTGCGAAGCTTATTTTTAGTTCCGGAAACCTGTATCGCGGAAACGACATATTCCGCTCGTACTATTGTCTATTTTACGATAAATATACAGCAATAATTAGATGTAGACAAGGTAATGGTAGCAAATATTTGTTCAATTTTAATTCTATATACCGACCGCATATACAGGAACTACACAACAAACAGTGAAATCAAGCACAACACGTTTGGAATGGTGCGCTAGCATTGTGTACGGAAATATAATTTCGTGTATAAAACCGGACCCGGAGGCGGTCCAAAGATATATGGATCCGGAATACGAATCGGAACTTCGAAATATTGATTTTTATTTAAGTTCCGAGCATTAATGCTATTTGATTTTTATGTATATCAAATATAAGTGTTGGGACACGATAAAGTATTATATTTTTGACGGTATGGATAATAATATGACATAATTTTGCCCTTTACGCATTAAAATAGGAATAGGCAAAATGGGGTGGGGGAATGGCGTTCTAACTTCAAGTGAGCGAAATTGCAAAATTTTCACCGGGAACCCCACATTTTTTTATGCTTACCGAAAATCATATATACTTGGCTGTCTTCTGTAAAAGTTTTATAAAATTGACATGGGTTTTGATCGCATTTTTGCTTGTTTTTAATGCATTCGTTTGATGTAAATTTGTTAAAATTACATTTTGAAGAGAATAGATGGCCATGAAAAATGCATAAATATACCAAATATAATCATTTTTGTTTTATTTCTGCTTTTTAATAGTACATCACGAGATGTGTAAAAAGTATTCAACTTTGTGGTAACTCAAATTTTGCAAATATTATAGAAAACAAATTTTTACTTAATTTTCATATTTTGGGGGAAATTTGCAGAAAAGTAGCTACCTTACTGCTGATATATCTCAAAAAGTAAGTCGAGAACCCCCTTTTTTCTTTTCAGATATGGAATCTACGTAAAACATGCAAGAAAATAGTCTAATTAGAAAGAAATGACATGGGTTTTTCCAAAAGGATGGACCCACCTTTTAATCAAGCTTAAATATAATGAATACAAACCCCACAAAATAACTACACATTCCTTTATCTTTGATTATTATAGGTACTGAAGGGCGAGCTGGAATGGCGGCAATTGCGTTGAATGATAGAGACGCTGACGTCACTTCCGACATGCTCAGAGCGATCTTCCAGAAATGTCACCAGGAACTGCCTTCGTACGCACGACCTGTATTCTTGAGATTCCAAAGAGATTTTATTGTGACCCAGACAATGAAACATAGGAAAGTGGAACTCGTGCATGATGGATTTGACCCCTCAAAGGTCACTGACCCTTTATATTTCATTGATAACAAAAACAAAACCTATTCCAGTTTGACAACATCAGTGGCAGGACAGCTCCCACTTTCCAAACTATGAACGAATCACATGACAGTAGTCAGATACTCAGGCTCTCATGGAACTCTTATAACATATAAAATCAGTTCTTTTTCATTTTAAATCAAAGTGAGTTGATTCATACTAAAGACAATAACACTCGCTGCGGTTTCAGAGGGAAGATGTCTCGGTATTATCTGAGGTATGGCCTTGAAACGTTCTTACTTTCATACGATGAATCTGTATCCAATAGGAGAACAGATTTGGAGAGACAAGTCTAAGAATCAATACATTCCTATACATGATCAGAATTGTAGTTTTAGTAATATCATACACGTTGCTGTGCATTTGGTCCTAAACTGATCTACTTATGATTAATGGAATTAAAGTTTCAACGACAGATTGCGCGTTATATTTGCAGTGAATCAATTGGGATTGACAGTACATTGTTTTGAAATGATTGTGTGCTTATTGTGAATGATAAATGGTAAATAAATTTGTGTTATGGTATCATAATGTCAGTTTCCGTTGGCAACATAAAGTAAGCTGTGTTACGGTATCATTGTTTTTATGATTACACTGATATCAATGTATCCATCGATTCGTGATGGTATACGCGTATTCTCCAAATAACGAAAGTCTTCATTTAATAAGGTTTCTTTATACATTGTTCTCGTTACAGTACACAATGTCAGTATGAGGTCCTTATTTGTTCAATGACCAATAACAAAGTAAAACGCATCTTTATGCTGTTTGTTGCTTGCAATACATTTGAAGAAAATCATTTAATTTGTCTATAAAATAGTGATACTTGAAATAACTTTCGCCGTAATCTCTTGGCAACACAATGCAGAACTGTACAACAAGTGTTAGAGAATTTCAGACCCGTACGAAACATGTAAACTAAGCAACAAGCAACAAGGCCCTGGCCATACCTGTTTAACAATCGTCAGAGATGTGTAGGCCATGACGAATCGATTTAAATAGTGGTAAGAGATTACAGACTCCTACCGAATATGTTAAACAATCGTCAGAGATGTGTAGGCCATGACGAATCGATCTAAATAGTGGTTAGAGATTACAGACTCCTACCGAATATGTTAAACAATCGTCAGAGATGTGTAGGCCATGACGAATCGATTTAAATAGTGGTTAGAGATTACAGACTCCTACTGAATATGTAAAACAAGCGTCAGAGATATGCAGGCCATGACGAAGCCCGCGAAATATTGGTTAGAGATTACAGATCCTATAAAACATGTAAAACAAGCGTCAGGGATGTGCAGGCCATGTCGAAACTTGTTAAATATTGGTTACAGATTTCAGACCCTACAAAACATATTAAACAATGACAGAGATGTGCAGACCATGACGAAACCTGTGGAATAATGGTTAGATATTACATACTCCAACAAAACCAGTTACACAAGCGTCAGAGATGTGCAGGCCATAACGAAACCTATGAAAAAGTGGTTAGGGATTTCAGACTCCAGCAAAGCATGTAAAACATGCATCATAGATTACAAAGTCTATAAAGTAAAATACGGAAAGAAAGCTTGAACACACTCGGCAGATCCCCAAGAAATCTGTAAAACAAAGACTCATAGCAAGCCAGCAGGAAACAGTGAAGTTAAAATAGTAATTGTCATAGAAGATATAGCAGAGAAAGAGAAATACTAAATGATTCTAGTAAGAATTTAGGCATCCTGTGAGAATGTGGACTAAGAGATGTACGCACACGAGCAATCTCGCTCATGAACGCATTACAATTGTTATTTGTAATGGGAGTAATGGAAATAAGTAAGTTGGTTGGTCGTAATGAACATTACGGCTTACACTATTAGTATACCAGCGTCCCATGCTTATGGAGTTTATACATCACAACTTATTTGCAAATTCCGTTCTAAGTGTAACGATTTTCTAAATAGACATCCTGCTGGCCAATTAACATTTTAGCCAGGGTTTTGTACAAGGACAAATTTTATCAACACTGTGGCAATTTTAAGGTCAATATATCAAGACCTACTTTATTCTGCGATATTTACTGTCTACAACAATCCGTATTGTTTTTGATAATCAGCGTAAAATTGTCCATCCTTTGTTTTGTTTTGACATGTCATGACGTCAAAAATCTTGAATCGTACTTTGTCACATTTCACATGCAATATGGCATGCTCTGTTCATGTAGTGTGTTACTGTATGCATAGTTTTAATATGATAAACTTCAGGTCAATCAGTTTACCCTCACAGATGATTCCTTTACTGGTGCTGTTGTCATTCCAACAAAGCAAGCATATATTCTTCTATAGGGATAGGACCGGTCAAAACTCAATACATGGTATCATAGGCAAATATACTTGTGATAGGAGTGGCGATCTGTGTGAAACCATACACGGTACAACACGTAACACTGCATTGCCATAGCAACTATTATCTGCGCTCGACTATAACCGACACGTCTGTATTCATTTGTTGAGAACGCTGACTGAATATCGAGGAAAAGTTTGAAGTAGTCATCCAAAGATTCAGGAAATTTCCATGATACATGGACAAGCAAGAGTCAACTTAATCAATAAAACATATATGCATTTTGGTGTTTCTGGAATGTGATGCCAGGAAAAGTTGCAATTACGTAAATCAATAAATATGTGTCAGATGCAAATCGTGGTATAATGGGATACACCCGCTGTGTTACTTAGGAACGGACAACAATATGCAGTAGCCGGTATTCAGTGACAGTAGGGGGATACTTCAATATGTGTAGCGGGAGCTGACCGTGAGCGTAGTGGGGAACGTATATAGGATCTTACACGAGTTTCCATTTCATATGAGATTTATGAAACGAGTCAAAGATTTTTTCAATTTGAATTTCATATGAAATGAAAACGAGTGTAAGATCCTTTTTACCACATAATCAAGATTTGTGGCATTTATTCGTGAAACTGGACAATTTTCATGCAACCTCGAAATATAAAAAGCCGCCATTTTGACTCCATTACGGAGGTCTGTGACGTCATGTACTTGTCCTAGGCGTGACGTCACAATTGAAATAATTGAAACTTACAGCCAATCACAGGGCTGATAGGTGATATTACATGGGTTAATACGCAAAAAAATGGGTATATTCACTAGATAACACTGTACATTATGTGATAAACAACGATATTAAGGAGAACAGGTTACAGATGAAGTAGGTAACACACAACGAGACTAGCGGGGAATGTACCATGATAGAAGGGGAATGTACCATGATAGAAGGGGAATGTACCCTGATAGAAGGAAAATGTACCATGATAGAAGTGGAATGTACCATGATAGAAGGGGAATGTACCATGATAGAAGGGGAATGTACCATGATAGAAAGGGAATGTACCGGGCTAGAAGGGGAATGTACCATGATAGAAGGGGAATGTACCATGATATAAGGGGAATGTACCGGGATAGAAGGGGAATGTACCATGATAAAAGGGGAATGTACCATGATAGAAGTGAAATGTACCGTGATAGAAGGGGAATGTACCGTGATAGAAGGGAAATGTACCATGATATAAGGGGAATGTACCATGATATAAGGGGAATGTACCATGATATAAGGGGAATGTACCGTGATAGAAGGGAAATGTAACGTGATAGAATGGGAATGTACCATGATAGAAGGGGAATGTACCATGATAGAAGGGGAATGTAACGTGATAGAAGGGGAATGTACCATGATAGAAGGGGAATATACCATGATAGAAGGGGAATATACCATGATAGAAGGGGAATGCAATACAACGAGACTAGTGGGGAATGTACCATGATAGAAGGGGAATGCAATAAAACGATAGTAGAGGGAAATAATGATAATGGGGGAACATAATGATAGCAGGGAAACATAATGATAGTAGGAGAATACAACTATATAAGGGGAATACAATACAACGATAGTAAGGGGAATAGGTAGCAGATGTAGTAGGTAACACACAACGAGACTAGTAGGGAATGTACCATGATAGAAGGGGAATACAATACAACGAGACTAGTAGGGAATGTACCATGAGAGAAGGGGAATGTACCGTGATAGAAGGGGAATGTACCGTGATAGAAGGGGAATGTACCGTGATAGAAGGGGAATGTACC